AGAAATGTGGATTGCTTGGAGAACTGCCACGGACATCTCCAAAGTCCAAACCACAAGACCATCCTTTTGAATTTCAACCTGACATTCAAAGGTTTTTTTCTTCAAAATGTTTCTTGTGAGCATCACTGAAGGGCAGAGAGACAGAATGATCGATTTCTCTTCCTGCCATTACCTTGATAAAAGCCCTTCTCTAACTTCGTTCCTCTGTTTCAAAAGCCTTCTCCATTCTCCTGACATATCTGCTTTGAGGCAACAAAAAGGCTATTCAAGATAAATCAAGCAGTTAGTGATCAAACAAGTTAGGTTTAATTAACCATTACCTTAGCACAGACAGGGTGCATCTTCACTTAAAAATTTAACTTTCCTACAATTAAATTAGAGGTATACAACAAAGAGGTTTTTTAGTGTTTTTTTTTCTAACAATGACCTTCAACAACAAATAATTAGGAGCAAAAAGTTTCAATAGCAAAAAGTGAAGGAAATAGAGGAGTAAAAAAAAGAAAGCTCACATTTCAATATTATTATTTTTGCTACCTAGATTTCCGGATTAAGAAAAAAAATGATTAGCATATAATCTAAAACAGGAATTACTAATAAGTGATTTTTGACATTTTAAGTTCAAGTTTACTTGAAACTAGCAACATACACTTAACTTTCAATAACACATTCAAGTATAGTCATATTTCTCCAGTAACCACCTACTTGCTTTTTACACTGGAAAAAAGTCACAATTCATTCCTAGAACTTGAATGGTACCAATGAAAGAACCCGGAGCAGCCATCGCCGTACTAGACTATTTAATCTTTGACCCTCAACATGTTTTGCACCTCTCTTACGACAGAGAAGAAACAAACAGAAAGGCTGGGCTGCAGCACTTGCTATATAGTTAGTACCTTATGAAAGCAGACAGAAAGCGACTGGAAGAGTTGGACAAACTCTTTTTCCCTAGGCAATATGTTGCCTACTAATGCACCCAAGAATACCCTTAGCTTTTTTATCTGCACATGTGTGACTCACAGTTATCTTGGTGTTTATCAGGACTCCTTTTCTGCTGGGGGCCACCCAGCTGACAATCAGCTGGGTAGTCCCCAGCACATCTGGCATTATTACTCTCCAGAATGACTTGCCATCTCCCTTTGTTGGACTCGACATCAACCTACCTCTAGCCTGTCCTTGTCACTCTGGATGGCTGCACATTCCTTTGAGTAAGCCACTTCCCTCAGTTTCATGACATCTGCAAGTTTACTATACTTCATCATCCACATCTTTAATTAAGACTTGGAACAAGACTGTTCTCGGAATCAACTCCTAGGGTACTCTGCTCAGCACTTGCACGCAGTTAGATTTTGCACTACTAACCACTACTCTCTGTGCTGACTTTCAGCCAGTTTTTGATCCATTTCACTATTTGCTCATCCAGACCATACTTCAATAGCTTCTCAATGATGAGCATATGGGGCACACTACCAAAGATCCAGGAAAGTAACTTCCACATCTCCACCCTCATTTACAATTACAAGGCTGGTGATTTCACTGTAGAAGCTTATCAGGTTGTCAGGCATTATTTCGTCTTGGTGAATCCACACTGACTACTCCTGATCATCTCCTTCATATGTCTAGAAATGGTTTCCAGGATCAGCTGTCTCATCACCTTTCAAGTGACTAAGGGAAGGCTGACCAGCCTGTAGTTACCTGTGTCCTTCATCTAGTCTTTCTTGAAAATAAGAGCAATGTTTGTTTTCCTTCAGTCTTCCGGCATTTCTCCAAGTTTCCCTTGAAGCACTGAGCAAAGAATATCAAAAGCTGTATCTCAATCATATCTGCAAGCTCCCTCAGCACTCATGGGCGCATCCCATCAAGGCTTATGGACTTAAGAATGTCCAGTTTGCTTAAGTGTTCCCTGACTTGATCCTCCTTCACTAAACTTACAACTTCCTTGCTCCAGCCTTTCCTTCTGATATCGGTGTTCCTGAAGGCAACAAATGCTGAAGAAGGCATTCAGTACCTCAGCCTTAGCACTGTCTCAGGTAACCAGATCTCCTGTTTCATTAAGGAACATTTTCCTAGTGTTCACTAATGTACTTGTTAATGGGAACAGGAAGGGCTTTTACATCCTTAGCCTGATTCAACTTTATCTGGACTTCAGCTATCCTAACTTCATCCCCAGCTGCTCTCTCCATTCCTTCCAGGTTACCTGACCTTGCTTTCATCCTCTCTGTTCTTCCTTTTTGTATTTGAGTTTGGCCAGGAGAACCTTGTTCATTCATGCAGGCCCCCCTGTCACTAACACCAGTCCTGCAGCCAATTATTGACCTGTCCTGACAGCGAGATATTCTAGTACCTCAGATCAGATACAAATGTTCTTACATTAAAGTGTCTGTTGTTGAGGTTGTTCTGCTCTCTGCCTTCACACCTGTGAAAAATCAATGGCAAGTCAGACTTTAGCAGAGACACTCTAAAAGCCCAGCCCCCTTGACAACTCTACTGTGCAACAAACTGCCTCAAAACAAACAAAAAAACCCAGCCCTTTCGTCTGTTGGTGTGAGGGTTAAAAATATATATGTATTAGCTTTTTTCCAAAACAGGCTGTTCCTGAATCTGCTGGAAGAGAACAAATAGATTTATTTAGTAATAGACAATAAACCCTCAGAAATTCTTAAAATAGAAATTAATGCAGCTCTCAAGATTGGCTGAACCGGAGGCCTTCATTTCTTTCAGCTACTGTTCATCAATGCAGTGTTATGCTTCAATATTGCCCCGTCCAAAATAGGAATATCTTGCATACTCCTCTTAAAGGACAATTGATAAAAAGCCACACCAATTTATTGTAATTCAAACAAGACAAAAATGTCTTCAGAATTTTAGAGGTCACCCTCTTAGGAAAGAAAGCCTTTCTACTTCAATACCTCATGGCAGAAGCTAATGTTAAACACATTTAAATTATTTAGGCTAATGGATAAGGTACTTTAAAACATTTCAAAGCCACGATCACTGAACTCTATCAGTTTCCTCTTTATTTTTCCATTTTATTTATATTCGTGCCATCTGGCTGTATCGATCATGAAGTTAAACAATCCTGCGTTTTTCCAAATGAAGTAAACTCAGAACTAATTTCTATAATCATTCCACTTCCAAACAACCACTCTTTAACCCACGCATACTTGTTTATTGGAAATTATAGTAAGACCGACTTTTGTAACCTTCCAGTCGCAACTGTTTTGTTTAAAACTGGCATCACCAACCCCAACATACACATAAATCAAGGAACACCTGAATAAACTAGAAACATCACTTAGCCCAGAAGCTGTCTCATCATAAACCACGCAGTCAAATAGCCAGATTTACACAAAATAAGATCAGCGGTTGACAAAGCGTTGTATGGCAGGATTACAATAGACTGCTAAGAGTAAAATAATATTAACTTCCAAGTGCTACAGTGGAACTGTTCATGCGACATTTATCTCTGTGATGTTTTCAGACAGAAGTTTCTGAGACATACGTAGATCATACACATTGTCTTAAACCACCGTCCTTATCAGAGATCTAATCAGTGCTAAACGCTGCCCCAAACTAACAGACAGGCAGTTCTAGACCCAAAGATTTACATGCGAAGACCTCAATTTTGCAATTTCCATCAGGTTACCTGAACGTGACCCTTAGCAACACTCACATGATTAGAAAAAGTTACTGCTTCTACCAAAAGAGATGGCGGTACCAGGAAAAAAAAAGAAAAAGGAGGAAGGGTCAGTTGTTCATTTTAATATCAAATGTGTTTATTTGGTTCTTAAACAAAACGACAGAAGGTCTGCATAAATCAGTGACAGGATTCTGACACAAATCTAGCACAGAGCAGCAGTAGCCAAGACATGGTCAAGGGCCTTCCCTATGTCTCCATGAGTGCAGCCTATACGTGTATGTGAAAGGTGCCTGGTTTAGGGAGAGAAGTGCCTATCCATATTGGACCTGGCATGTTCACTATCACCCACAGTGGGTATAACCTGTGCATGTCCTCCCACGCACAAAATCACATCAGTTTCTGAAACTTTTCAGCAAGTATTGCTACAGCCCTGCTCCACAAGAGTGAGCATCAAAGCATCCTCGGCATCTGTACCATTTAATTTTCTCACTTAGAAATGCTTTAAAATTACTACCGGAGCATCCAGGAGAGAGCTATGCCGGCATTCTCACTGCTTGGGATCACTCAACGTAAGCAAAGTTTTCTGGTTTTATGTCTCATTTTCCAAAGGTTTGTGGCTGGACCTGCAGACATTCTCTCTATAGCCACTGTCTCTCTTCAGAGCAGCCACCGCGACGCCGTACATTAAAAAGCTGAGGTACAGACACCCAACCTCACCCACCCAGTAAGTTCAGCAAGAAGTAAAGCAGCAACGGAGAACCGCCCGCGTTCCACAGACCCCAGCGCGCGGTTCTCAGTCCCACAACCCGCGGCGAGGCCCCGCGCCCAGCGGGGCGCACAGCGGGGCGCACGGCGTCCGTCCCGCCCGCAGCCGGCCGCCACCTCGGCGCGGCGCAGCACCTGTCCCGCAGCAAGGGCAGCGCGGCAGCTCGCCGAGCACACGGCTAACCGCTTCCTCGGCGGCCCACCCCGAAGCCAACAAATCACACCGGTGACTGCGGTCACGAGCACGGCACCCCTGCCTCGCTCGCTCCGTGAGGCTCGCACCCGTTCCGCTCATCCCGCCCAACTTTCCCGGCGTGAGGGAGGTAAGCTGCCCGGGGAGGACGGCGGAAAGGGAGCCGGGAGCCTCCCGTGCCCACACAGCGGTGCGCCTCTCCTTCGTGTGGAAAATAAAACAAAACGAAACAAAGATAAACACCGAAGGCGGCGGGAAGGGCGCGGAGCGGCGGGGCAGGGCCGGCACAGCGCGCCGGCCTACCTGCCCAGGGCGGGGAGGGGAGGGGGCGGCCCGGGGCGGCGGCTGTGGGCACCATCTTGGGGGCGGCGGGGGCCGGGAGGCCGCGGCCCGGCGGCGCATTACCTGCTCTGCCAGCCCTGCAGGAGGTTGGTGTATTTGCTCAGCGTCCCTTCCAGCACCGGCTCCCGACGCCTCCCGACGCCGCCCGGCGCCTGCGCGCCCCCCGGGCTGGCCGCAGCCGAGCCGGGGCTGCCGCCGCCTCCATCCAGCCTCCCCGCCGCCGCCGCCGCCCGGCCCGGCAGCCCGCGGCCGGCGGAGGAGGACGAGGGAGAGGAGCCCGCCGACGTGGGGCGGCTGCTGCTGCGGCTGCTGCTGTTGCTGCCGCCGCCCTCGCTCGCCGCCGCCTTCTCCATGGAGCCCCGCGGCGGAGGGTGCAAGCCCGCTCCGGCCGCGGCCGCCGCTACCGCCCGGCAAAGCCCTGACTCACGGGCGGCGCCGGGAGAGAGAGAGGGGCGGCGCCCGGGGGAGAAGGGGCCGGGCCGCGGCGGGAGAGGGAACCGCGCGCCGCCCCTCGCCGGGGGCCGGGGGGCGTCGGGCGGCCGCTGGGCCGTGCCCTGGCTGCGCGCTGAGCGCCGCGGGGGGCGGCGGCCCTGCGGGGCTGCGCGCGTACCGCTGCGACGCCGCACAGCGCGTGCCGGGGCGCGCGGCCCTGGCGCTACGAAGGCTGCGCCCGCCAGAGAGCCACGCTCGGAAGGGGGGCGGTTCTTGGTGCGGATGGATGCGCGCGAGTGCCCGTGGCCACGGAGCGTGGCACCGAGGAGGCGGCTGTCTGCGAGCCGCTCGCGCGGTGCACGCCGAGATGCGTGTGCCCAGCAGCAGCGGTGCCACAGCCGTCCCCGGCACGCTGCAGGACGCCGTAGTGTCACAGAGTCATTAAGATCGGAAAAGTCCTCTCACGTCACCTAGTCCAACTGCCAGCCCCACCATGCCCACAGACCACGTCCCTCAGTGCCACATCCACACGGTTCTTGAACGCCTCCACAGATGATGGTGACTGCACCACCTCCCTGGGCAGCCTGTGCCACTGCCTCACTGCTCTTTCTGAGAAGAAATTCTTAATACCCAACTTGAACCTCCCCTGGAGCAACTCAAGGCCATTCCCTCTTGTCCTTTCATGTACATCGGCGCATTGCATCAGTTCTACCATCGATCTAGGCTTTGCAGAAAATATTTTGTGGGCTCAGTTGCATCTCCTGAAGACAGAGGATGATTTAAGATCGTTTAGGATCACTGCAAAAAGACAAGCAGGTCCTTGTACAGTCAGCAAGGTACAGAGCTGTGTGGTTACATTCTCCCAGATCGATTCCACAGCCAGCCTTGCTGTGTTAGCCAAGTGCCTCAGCCTTGTTACAGTACACATCCTCACAGCACACCTGACATGCAGTTATGTCATCTTGCAACTGGAGACCTGAAATACGGAGGGTCTCAGTGGGACTGACGAAGCACGAATGAACCAACCTTAGTGCTGTACTTTAACCCCTTGAAAAGCTGTGTGCTTCCATGTGCTAGAGTTCTAGGGATCTTTGGACTGTACCAAATCTCATATGCCATCCCCTATTCTGCACCACTGACGATTTTCAGGCCTTCCAAACTCTCACAACTAGAGGCCTGTGTTTCCAGTACAAACCAGACATGAGGGCTTCTTGCTCAGATTCTCCCAGTTTTCTCTCCAGAAAATCTTACCATATGTGTTGTAGTTGGTTAGCTGAAATGTTGGACAACTCGATCCTGAATTTTGGGTAGTTAAACTTCTATGTTGTAGCTAAATACTGAGGCACTGCAGTCTGGAAACTTGAATTTTAATTTAGCCTTTCATTGGTGGAACATTTAGTGTACATCTCTTGCAGCACAGACAAAGATTATTAGCTTAGTTTTTCTTTAAAACAGAGAATATTTGACAGTAATTTTTCAAGGCAGAGCTATTACTTAAATATTCATGTAAAATTCCCCAGTCTTTATTCACTATAGAAAGAAACTGCGACTACAATCTGAAAATCCTTATTCTTGGACTCACCTCCATCAATTTGATGGCCACAGTTTTCAGAAGACCTTGGAATGAAGGATCCATTCTCCTTCAGGAAGCTCAGACCTTGCTCTCTGGTGACAAGCATGAAATGCTTTCATTTTTCTCATCATCAGCTACAGCTACAGCCCCCAACAGTGGAACAAAATCCTTTACAGAAGTAGCAGTGTCATCACCACAGCTTCCCACGAGCCACTGCAACCCATTAACTGTGTGTGTTCTATATTATAAAGAAATAAGATATTTTTTTTCTGTCTTCCGTAGAATTTATTAGAAGAGAGTTATGTCAGGAAAAGAAGCCTTCTCATAAAGTTGTACAGAAACCTCTCTATGTCTTTCTATACAATAAAACCCAAATAACAGTTGTGTTCCCACGAGGGAGTTTCTGACACAGAAGAGACAATGGGCTGCCAGCATATCATATCCCCAGGAGAATTTTGCAAAATCTCAAACCACCTCACTGCTGGAAGAAGGTCTGTGTGATGTGATAGCATACAAGGTCCTCTTACTGCTTGCAGGCTGGTTAACAGGGGGAAAACGAAATAGAGGGGTCAATGGCCACTTTTCAAATGGTGGAAAATGCTACTCTGATTTGGGATCTATGTTACCCAGTATCTTCTAAAATCATTAGTCCTTCAATAATAGTTAAAACAAGAATCAACTGGAAGGAAAAAAAAAAAAACAGCAGAAATTTCACAGTAGTGACTAATTTGCTGATAAAATGATAACTGAAGCAACTAATTTATATGATCTATACGTTAACTGTAGCTTCCCAGGGAAGCTATTTTACAGTCATTTTAAGTAGTTCTCTGAAAACCCCATTTCAGTGTTCAAGGGTAATCAAGCAAACAGCTGGGATGAGCTCATTAGGAAAACAGAAATATCAGCATGCTGCTATATAAATCCATAGTACACCCAGTGAATGTACACTCTGCATTAATAACATTCCTTCAGAAAGGATGGAATAGAAAGAGAAACTTTGTAATGAGCCCCAACTCTGTAATGAGGAGAGAGCTAGCTCAACAGGATTTTCTGCTGGAAAAGAGAGAACCTGTGTACAGGATGGTATTTAGGTTAATGGGTATATTTCTCATGAAACTAGAGCTATGGGGGAGCTGGTTTAAAATAAGCACAAGAGAATACTTTTTCACATGATTTCTAAAAGTGAAAGTCATTGTTACAAGATGCCAAATGTCCAGAAGAATAAAAGAGCAGTTTGATAACTGTTTTCAAAGACTTTTAAGCAAGGCTGTCCAAAGTGTTTTGGAAGTATCCGAAGATCAGACAAACCCTAAACTTCTGATGCTTTGAAGAGTGTTTATTGATAAAATAATACCTATGCTGTTCTTGATCTTTCTCTAGGCATCTAGTAGTGAAAGAAATGGACCATGCAGTCCTTCAGTGTGATCTGTAATTCACATACTAAAGATTTCTTGCCCTTGGTTAACCAGAGATCTTTTTGATTCCAACCTTGGCACTCTGTGCTGTTTTTGCATCATATCTAAGAATGAGACTGTATTATAACCAACTTTCTTATTCCTTTTTCCTTCCTGGTATGTACATACTGCTGTGATGTGACAGAGTTGGACAACCTTTCATTGCAATCTTGATATCAGTAATCCTCTATTCTCACTTATTTTAAGGCATTGATGTTTTCCAAAATGACTGAACCTGTTTTGCTTTTGTGTTTTTTTCCCCCAGCTAATGATCTGTCCCAGTAGAGCTACTCTTCAGAGTAATAAACCCTGAGTTAGTCTGATGCAATCCTGCATGATCTATGCTTTGTTACAAATATTCTTAATTAGCGATTTATTAACAGCGACCTACCTAATGAAGGCTTTTGCTGTTTCCAAGGTAACACAGCCACTACTTCACAGTCCTCCTCTAGTATGTTACTTTCACTCTGTGGTCAAACCAAAATTTTGCATCTTTCTTTAAGTACCATAAGAACCAAAATGATTCATTATTTATCCCACCTTCTGAAAAGCAGAACATCTGACAGGATAACAAATTCATCTGTGTTTGCTTTTATCGGTAAACAGAGAAGTTTCCGCATTCTGTGATCCTTTGCTAAGCTACACAGTTACATCACACAGAACAAGGCCATCTCACAGCCCATTTGCTGCTGTTTCCTAGTCATCTTGTTTTGGGCTTCTATATCTTTTTAATATTCCCCTAGCAAATAGTTTTCTGTAATTATTTTCCATGTTCCTTTTCTACCTCTTGCCCTCTCTCCCCACCAGCTTTCCATACAATTTGTAACAATCATAATCATAGGGAGATGGAGTTCCTACATGCTTTTCTCTAACAATGGGGTCTACTTAGTTTTGCCTGGTCTGTCTTCAAGCACTGAACCTATTCCATGAAAATGACACAAGGCTTCTGCAGTTTTTCCATCTCGTCCTTCTTGTCCTACAGAGTTCTCTTGAGACATTGCATCATTTCCCATGAGCTTAGAAGAGTAAAGCCAGATGTCACTGAACTGCAGGCAGTACTTATGGCAAAAACATGCCACTGCACACCTCTCCTATTGCTGTGAGCACCAGAATGAATCAGACAATCAGACACAGTCCCTAAAGATTAGTTTATGGTCACACTCATGCCAAGGCTGCTCTCACTAATACTTCCCCAACAGCCTACTGCAGCTGCCACAGCTTGAGTGCAGCTGGCACACATGCAGCAGGTGGAACAATGCAGAGAAACAGAATGTTCTCTGGTCCTTCCTCAGATCTATTTCCCTACATTACTGGACTTGAAGATCTAAAAGAAGCGGTGATCTCTCTAATCTGACCTTTCTATGAAATAGTACTAGAATCATAATACAACTATTGTGATCTGTCTTACATAATGGTTTCATTTAGCCATAACCAGCACATCATGCACACTTCTGACCTGCGGATTTGGAGGACACAGAGAAGCTGCCATTCATTTTGCAGTCTGCCAACTTTAGCATTAGTTTTGCTGCATCAGTATGCATTTTATGCTCCTTTCCTGGTGCCTGTAAGTCTGTAAGTGTACTAAAGATACTTCTTTGACACTCTTCATCTTGCTGTCAGCAGTTTCTCATCGATGTTTCTCATCCACCAACAAGACCATCTCTCACTGAGGTTCAAGCTGATGACAGGGAAACCAGCATATGGCACTAGTGCCCAAACCACCTTGGCTGCCAGAAACAGTCTAGTTCAGGAAACACAGTCTTGACTGAAACATAATTCACTCTGCCACTAGGCATCACAAATTCATTTGGGCTGAGATTTGTGCTGCCTGCCACATTTAGATTTACAATAACTTGTTTACTCACAGCTCTGTAATTTGCAGGTTAGGCCAGCTGAAACAGAACTTGATCAAAACATCTGCAAGCCTCT